CTTCTCTCTCACCATGTGCCCCCTTTCCTGTATTCACATTCATCAGTCAACCTCTCATTATTTTTTATGGTCAACAATGTTTGAGCCACACTATACTTCACTCAACCTCCATTCTCTACATCCTCAACAATATTCCTCCACCATGGCATCTCTCTCTCCCTGAAACTGACAAAGATCAAGGATTTTATCTTAAAAGATTAGACAATCACTTTTGATTATATGTTTAGAAAAATTAATAAATATGCAGATTAGCTTGCTCTTCAAACATTTGATGATAATTACACACGTAAAATTTTTGATGATCCACTCTTAATGTATATAAATTGTATGAGCTTTTGACATGACCCTGATTGTAATCTCTTGTAAGGTTCTTTATGGCATTGTATTAAAAAAAAAAAAGTGTATACACTGCAGTGAGAAAAAGAGAGACAAAGAAAAGAGTTTCATGCTAGCCAGTGATTATGATATTTGAACTCCATGCTGAATCAGATCATATTATCACTCTTTTATTTCAAATGAATGTATAAAAACGGATCTTAACTTTCTATGCAACAACACAACGTTTCGAAGGGGAGAGAGAGAGAGAAATTATAAGGGATGCGTGGATGATGATTTTACCTTATTTATGGGCCCATATTTATCTTATCTATTTATGTCTTTGCTTCAAGCACTGTGCTGTTACATTCAATCAAAGAGATAGAACCAAGAAAGAGGATACAATTCATACTTCATCTTGTGAATTAGCACACATCAATCAAGCTCAATTGTTTCTGCAACCTTGGATTCATGTTTAATGCTTACTTTGAATGATGACATTTTATTATATTGTACTATTGTATTATTACTCAATTAATATTGATCATATTACTTGTAAAGACATTTCTTTGGTGTTAGTTCTTAAATGAATAAAAAATGTACACTTTTCATTTACTAGATGGAAATAATACGAAAGTGAATCGACAATGAATTGATAATAATGGTTGATGGTGAGACCATGGATGGTAACGGGACAGAGTAATTATATCTAGTTGGGAGTTGACATTCTTTTGACTTAATCAAGGGAATACTTTGTTTTCAAAAATTTGCAATTATTCGTATTCCACAGTTTATATCTTTTATAATTAGTATTATTATTTTTAATATAAAAGCACGTTCTTTTATTAATAAATTATTTTTTAATTCTATTTTGTAACTATGAATTCTTAAAAGCGGGACCAATGGCAAATAGAGATATGATCATAGGGCATGATTTGATTTGGACTTTGGAAGAAAACAAAATTGGGTTCCATAAAACCGAGTTCACTTTCAAAATCTGTTTTGGGCTGACAGAGTTTGCAAATTCGAACTTCAATTATTTTTCCAAAAAGGGAAAAAAAATTAGACCAAACAATGTTCAAGCTTGGAATCATGCCCAAGGTTAGCTCAATTTCAAAAACGGTATTTTGGGGCCAAGATGTCCATGTTGGTAAACATTTTCTGGTCTTCTTTTGACTCCTGCCTTTCCTTTGTCTTGAGGCCTAAAAGCAAAACAGACTGCATTCATTTTCCAGTTCATGGTTTTCGATTGTGCATCAATCTGGGAAAGATAAAAATACTTTTGGGGACACATCAGTTTTGCCCCTTTTGTTCAAGTATCCTAAATCTTTGATTTACACTAATTCGATGACAACTTATACGTACTTTATAGACAATAGGGCTTGAATTCGAGATTTCTAGTTGAGCTGGATCAACTTCCTAGCTACCTAGCTGATCCAAACACCTAGTAGTTACAGAAACAAAATTATAAGCGAAAACACCATTACAATAATAAGTGATGTAATATTGAATTATGTACACATTCGATACACTTTTATTGAAAATCTTGATAGCAAGTGCTCAAGAATTTTTACCTAGCTTTTGTCCTTGGTAAAATTATCAGAAGAGTTCAAGGAATAAAAGAACTGTATATATATACATGCACATTGCACATGGTCTAACCAAAATTAGCAAGAATCAACATATGCATAAGAACGAAAAAAATACAATCCACCTTTAATTTGAAGGCTGAAGGGTACTGGATTAAGCGTATGTTGGGGGTGGCGTTGAGTCACCCCAAAACGTGATTTCATGTTAAGTAGCCTTGAGCCACCCCAAACATGCTTCAAGACCAGCGAGTTAAATTTGGAGAGACAGGTCATTTTCAATGAGAATGAATCATAGGGGGAAATGGCTGATGCAGCAAAACTGGCAAAACAAACGAATAAAAGAGAGAGAAGAGAAAGTAGAAATTAGGATTACCAAAAGGGGTGTAAATGAAGGTTGGTTTTAAAATTGCTATACTGAGAATACAATAATGAAAAAGGCAATGAATACTGATGAAAAAATACGTAGTTTTACGTAGCTGATAAATTCATATGTTGAGCTTTAATTCCAGTTCCACAAAGCAGCAGTTCAGTACTGCCACAAAAACTTTGTTCTGGTAGAATTCTGCAGTCCCACTCTTTCATTTCAAGCCAATGTCACTGTAAATGATTGTTTCGTTGTGTTTATGATTTCTTTCGTGTAGAAAATACTGCGTAAATCACCCAGGATAACGAGTTCAAGATTGGAGATAATTCACTTTCCTGCAGAACGTATTAGTCAGCCTAACTTGAGAAATACACCCATGAACAGAGTTAATTTAAGACTATAATCACACAGATGTTGTTCCAGGGCTTACTTCCCATATGATTTGAAAGTATGTCAAAAATGAAAAATAACATACTTTTGAGAGGAGGCAAAGGAAAAGGCAACTTCTAGAAGCAAAGGCCAGTAATCAAGACCCCAATTTATTCCACTTTATCTCACAACATCAATATGCTTCACGCAATTTTCTTTTATAATGTATCATAATTAAAAACTGAGAGGATCTCAATTCTATGCAGAACATGAGCCCTGAATCATGTCAAACAACTGTGAAAGAGTATCAGTTCTTCATCAACTAAAAAACTTGACACACTCACAAGGGTCTTTTCCTTTTACTTTCATCTGAAAAGAAGAAGCAAACAAACAAAACTGTTTCCTTCTGTGATGCTGCCTGGTATAGTATACAAAATTTACAGCTACTTCACTCTCAGATACAAGATTCTATAGTCATCAAACTATTTAGGGCAAATCCCCTAACAGAAAAACATTTATGATTACACTAACTATGGTTTGCTATGCATCACCTGCATCAACAACACAGATAAAAGGTAACGACAAGAATCTAACAGGAAAGAGCTCACAGAAGATATGTCCAGATAATTACTCATCTTGAGATGCAGATGACATCAAATTATCCAATGAGTCCACAACTTGCCCTTCAGTATTTGACATGTTATTTGTGTTAGCTTGACAATTTACAGCGAGAGGTTGACAGTTCCCTTCACATGGAATCATGAAATTTTCATTTCCACATATATCAACCTGAGATGGTAATCCTGCACGGTGATCAAAGCACTGAAAATTGGTCTCACACTGAAGACCAGTCGCATGGCCTGTGGGCAGCATATTGGTTTGCCCATCCTTAAAGATTGAAGAAGAGTTATTGCACTGCTTTTTATAAGGAAAAACACCCAACTCATTGTCAATTTTCCCTTTAAGGTCTACCAGAATGCTCCTCAACCTCAAGACCTCAGCTTCAAGAAGTGCATGTCCTTGTAGTTTCTTAACTAATTGCTGATTCTGCAGACGCAGTTTCTTAACTTCCTCCTCCAGGTGAGCTGTCTGTGCCTTCTTCTTCTCCCTATACTTTCGAACAGCTTCTCTATTACCTGAAGGCCGTTTTCTTTTTGAGTTGGTGTGCTCTTTACCATCTGTATGATCATCCTCAGATGCAATCACTTGGGTGTGTGTGTGGTAACAAGTATGGGTATGTGCTGCATCAGGGCCAGGAGGGTTGCAAGTGTGAGTATGGGTGCATGTTCTGGTGTTCCTCAAGAATTCATTGATTTTATTCATGGAAGTTGGAGACTGAACATTGCTAGATGACTCTGGATTCGACAAGAAGAAACTATCTGAAAGCTCAATGTCTCCATCATCCATATTTTCGTTCTTTATTTCGAGTGATACTACTTAATGGTGGTGTGTCAACAGAAGAACATATCTGCAACAACCAATTTTAAAGTTAGCAATTGCTACAATACGACAAATGAAAATGACACGCAAATGAGTTTGACTTTATGTTTATTCACACCAAACTCAGATATTTTCCCCAAAAGCAGAAACTTAATTATTGCCTTCAGTTGATATTACTCGAGGATATATTAAAAGAAGCACAGACCTTGAACAAAAATTTACAGTCCAATCTAGATATCATGACCTAGGATTCCAGAATCAGCTTACTGAACAATTCATAGATTATCCAGATGGATTCACTCCACCGTTATCCAGAATCATGAAGAAAGGCCAATTTTGATATTGAAATAATAATGTGCGGGGAGAGAATCCGGGCAAAAATAGGGACACGAAGACAGACAGATTATAAGCGCTGGAAATTAGAATCAGAATCAGAGACAAGAGCCAACAAAGGTACAAATCGATGAGCAAACTGAGGATTTGAAGCAGAACCGTAGACTCGGATAAGAAAAATCTGCTACTTTTAGCTCAAAGGAGCAAACAAACACACCTCCAGAAATCTGAATCGCTCTGCCTTTGTTCTTCGGTCCTGGATTCTTCTAAACTTGCAAGTCAAAGGAACATGATGTGTTGATTGAGATTTTCCCACTTAAACTAGCCTTGGGCTTGGGCTAACTACGAAGCTCTATTAGTATTAAAGAGTAAGAATATTATATCAATTAAATGATTCTCGCGGTTTTTAATTAAAGTTTTCCCTTTTATATTAACAAAGGTTGGCACATAAGACTTTTATCCATAATTGGATATTAAGATTCCATATCCAAGAGTAGGAATTACAATAAATTTCTAACTGTCTCATTCAATTTTAATGTTTTATAGCTGTTTGATCAAAATATTAAAAAATAGGGTTCATGTTAGGTATAAATGAATTTAATTACATATGGTTTTTCATTGATTGTATTGAAAATAAAATTACTTCAAATATCTTGATTAACGAACAGAAGATTATGACCCAAAATGTGAAGATAACATGTGAAAATGATGTGAATTGGAGTAAAACTAGTAATTTAATTGGAATAGTCAATTCAAGTCAAATTTATTTAAATTGATTTAAAATACTCCTAACATATAAAAAAATTTATATAATTAAGTTTGATTTTAACACTTTGAGCATTTGGATAAGTCCAAATATTCAAATTATTAAATATTATTTTATTTTATATCCAATTTCAATTTTTAACTTATTTTAATTTAATTTTATTAATAATAAACAAATTTTGAGTATTCAGTTTAATTTTATTTGAATTTGAGTTTGGTTTAGGCTTATTCAAATGGCCCAAATATTTTTTTTTTTAGAAAATCTCAAACCCAAAACTAAAATTTCTTCCAGCTTATTTGGCTTGAAGTGTTGGTTTTCACGATCCTAGGGCGAAGAAGGAACAGTATAGCATATTGTGGGAGGTTAGATGACTCATCACTACTTTTATTTGTTGAAACGTATGAAGGTTAATGGTTAAGATGCCAACATTGAGGCCGATGGGATTCATTGAACTTGTTGGTCAAGAATGTTTTTATTTTAGTCATTCCAATCCTAAATTTAAGAGCTGGATAACTTGTCTACAGAGATTTAGAAAATTTGTTAATTTGGTTATATTTCTAAGAAATTTATATTGGTTTTCATAAAATACCTTTTCATAATTTTCATAGGAAACTATTCCTATAGATGAAAATCTCCATTTAATATGTGCAATCAATAAGATAGTTTGAGAAAAAAAATTATAAATTAAAAGATAAAAAATTATAAATTTAAAAGATAAATATATTGAGATCTTACATTTAGAAATAAAGCAAGCCCTCCAGTAAGCTTCTAGATTTAATAATTAAGATAGGAGGGAATAACATATTCATCTATTTGAGAGTTGATAATGGTGACAAACAATAAGTTCTCTTAGACGATTTTTGGGTGAAAAATGTAGTAAATTTTTTTAAGGCTTAGGATTAAAAAATATTTTTACCTCTCAACTATTCATTTAGAAGCACCTGATATTTTAAAATTTGTGGTGCAATTTTTCCTTTCAACTCTTGAAAATGGTACATTAAGTATCATATCTTTAAAAAAGTTAACTTTAATCATTAGTTGACTTTATAATTATAGAAAATGATCCATAAAATTACACATAAGTTTCTTATAAAAAAGAAATTTCAATTAAATCTCCTAAATTACATATAAAAATATTATACAAATATTATTTTTTGCCCATGTAAAAGGTCAAAATATAATTATGACTGACCATTATTTTAGGAATTTAATCGATATTAATTTTTTTATAAGGTAATTGTTTGCAATTTTATGGGTCCTTTTCTATAATATTTTAAGTTTTTTTTGGTCAACTAACAATCAAAGTTAAATTTTTTAATAGCAAGATGCTCAACATACTATGTTCAGAAGTGAAAAGAGAAATTACACTACATGAAAATTTAGGATACTAAGTTCTTTGAGAAAATAGTTTAGGAAAAAAAGAAGCCATTTAACCTTTTTTTTAATTGAAGCATACTCTTGCTTCTATTGGATATTCAATATGTTTAATTCTGTGCATGCAGCAACCATCATAGTAGCATCTTTGCTATGGACAATTCGCTGAGATTTCCAGTTTTCAAAAAGTTATTTGGTAGAAACCTAAGTAGTTAGCTTTGATATATGATCACATTCTATCTTTAACTGAATTTGGTCCCTAAGTTTCTTCTAGTCATGAAATTCCTGAAATATAATTGTTAGTTTTTCACGATTCTTGAGCACTAATGAAGATTAAAAAAAATACAGGAAAATGTTGAGGTCTATGGCAGAATCACCTGGTAGACCGAACAAGCATACCAATGTTTTGAATTTTGAGCTTGAACCAAACTATTGTTGATAATTAAGATGGAGAAATTTCAGATTCCAAAACTCAATATCACTGTTCCTATTTCAGCATCACTAGCAAAATGAACACAAAATATCATGAAAAATCGCTCTATCCTGGACCTTCCAAGAGGTTCCATCTCTCTGGACAAATAACCCAATTGGAATTTCCATATTGGTAGTCATGCTTATTGAACTTACAAGCCTTTATAAGCATATCTGTAAGATGTCACATCGTTATCATATGCATATACATATAGTGACTAGAAAATCCTGGAAAAGAGAACCTTGAAAAGCAAGGGAGCATATTGCATATTCTTCCACCATGCATACTAAATAGAAAGAACAACATCTTTTAGCATGGGTCGTGCTATAATAGTAAGCCCGATAACCCAAAATAGGCACAATCCATGTTCACAACTTGATCTAAAGGCAAACTAAAACAACTGTATGTACTATTTTTTTTATTCCAAAAAGAAGGGAAGTTGATGCCACAAGAATGAAACCTTTTGATTCCTCTTTGTACCCATAGAAAAAGAAGTGTTTGGAAGCAATAAAATGACAGTACAAGAATGAGAAAATCTCAGGGATAGTCAAGATTCAATAAGAATGCAGATTTTGGCAGCTTTGAATGCACTCTGTCAACTGGAACAAAAGCTCCAAAGAAGTTGCTGTGGTGGATGGATTTCATGTTGTTGGAGAGCTTGAATTCTATCACCAACCTCCTAGCCTTCATAATTTCATACCATTGGTGGCTTTTGATATTGGCTTCTACCCTTTTAGGATTTCATCACAAGGCAGTCCAGTTCTGCTGCTCAACTTCCTTGCCTTGACAAGAAATCTGTCATCCTTCAGAGAGAAGATCAGGGCTCTATTCATGTTCTTCCCCTTTCTCTGGTTTTGAGCGTTTACCAAGAAATATGGACTTATTGCGAAAAGATTACTTGTTTTATATAACATGACAGCTAAGAAATGTCATTTTGCTATTTTGCATTTGTCCCCTGCACTTATGTACACACGAATAAAACAGTAAATGATCAGCTAACATCTCCAAAAACAGGATTAAATATTAAAACACTGTGAAAATACAATTGTTGGTTTCTATACTTTTAGCATGTTTTGTATAGTCTCTATAATATTTTTTTCATTGTTCCAAATCTCTAAAGTTTCATTCTTTTGCAACATTAGTTCTTATTGTAACTAATGGAATTAACTATGCTGATATGTGCATAATCCCATTAAATACAGTGCTAACTTCATAAAGTTATGATGAGTTGGATATTGTGTAACAACTAACAATAAAGACTAACGATGAAATTAAAGGGACTACAAACAATGAAAAAAATTATAGAGACTAATACCAAAACACATAAAAAGCATAGAACCAATGGTTGTATTTTCCCTAAAACATTTTAACCAAAATAAGGGAAAACTAGATTGCAATTTGGCTTTGTTCGACAAAAATGTATGTCATGTGTCTTCAGCCCACTTTTTGAATTCAAAATTACTATGATCCAATATATGTGCGCGCGCGCGCGCGCAAAAATGGACATTCAGGTAAAAAAAAGGGAAATCACCTTTAAGCTGAGAATTCCCCTATAGTTAAATACATGTGGGTAATCTATTGCAGTGCACCAGCATGCTTTTCCACCCTTTTGCTAGCCACAAAAAGAAGTTTCCCAAATTATCAAATGACATGAAGAATCAAGAACCAAAAAAGCATCATTCAAATACAGAGTGCACAAAGTTTTAGGATTTGAAATTCTTGTGCTAGAAAAGTTACCTGATGCTTCGCTAAGCAATTAGAGCTGGTAATGATCTCATTGATGATTTGTGACTCCAATCACTATCAATTGGTAAGCAGGGAATGTGATTTCTTCCCCTATGCAACCATATCTTTTTGATCAATGAACCAACTATTATAGCCTCAAACGTGCAGACTGTGTTCACCGTCTAAGAATAAATATCAGAAGAGTTTGTCTGTCCATTGCACCATTTAGGGGAAAGAAAGGTGACTAATGTTGTTCAGGCCCGGTAAATGTTTCTCTTCAAAATTGACAACTGTTAAAAATTTCAACTAAAGATTAGTAAATACATATTCTATAGTATCCTTTGCATGCTAAATTTGGTAAATATATAAATTCAAATGTGTTTAAAACATGACAAATTATATGGATCTCATGCCGAATTAATACATGCATGAAAGGATATTATAGAAATTAGAAAACAAGGTAACAAAAATTAGCTCCCGAACACAAATTAAACCATACTATTTCTCAAGTTAGAATAACATTCATAAGATAGAAATTATATTCGTGTTAAGCATCTTTAATATAAAATATAAATTTTATAGTAAACAACACTATAAATAATATAACAAATTATTTAAATTTCACACGGTTGCACAAATGGATGAATATTATTTATAATAATTCAAATTTTGATCACAGAAATAGTTATATATATTTAAAAAATAAAATGTAAAGAAAAAAAGAGTTGTGAGTGGGAATTTTTAAAATTAAAGTGATCGCGGGGCAATGATTTCCCCTTATCTCCCCTTCAACAAGACACTACTCTATGGCATGATTTCCATTTTCCAAGGCTAGATGCTTCGCTTTTATTGCCGTATTTATTTTGT